ATCGGTTAACTATAGCATATAGCTACCATACAAGCTGAACGATCGGAATCAAGGGCTTGTATGGAAAACTTTTGTATTTAACGTGGTATCTTCACGAAATTTGACATGGATTACTGCTTAAGATAATAATATAATCTCCGAAAAAATTGTTCAGATCGGATTACTATAGCGTATAGTAATAAAATGAACACGTAGTAAATAAAAAAATGCACCTGTGAAGGGTATATTAGCTTCGGTGCAGCCGCAGTTAACGTGTTTTCTTGTTTTTGTATAGTATTGTTGGCATTAATAGTGTGCTATAAAACAATTAGACTTTTGGCTGTGGGGATATGTGAAGTCTAAACTCTACGCGGGCAATTTCGTTTCGGTTCAGGCCTTGGAAAAATCACGCATGTCATTCGCCAGTTACCATTCGAAATGCTCAAACGAGACAAGAATTTTCTTTCGAATAACAAAAATAAATTTCTCCATTAAATTTGAAGTTTATATTCATTTTGTTTAAAAAAAAATGTAGAGAGCCTCGTCAGTCGCCATTGACGCTCACGTAATTCTTTTTTTAAATCAGCTGATTCACAACTATACTTTTATAAAAGTTTCTACGGCATTATCTCTCTCTGAAATTTGTTTTTACCTATTTATATCGGGTTTCAATAGTTTAAATAATTATAAAAGACAAATTTTAACTTTACRCAACAACACTCTACTTTCACTATGGAGAAAATTGCATTTATGTCTATATTAAGTTTATATACAAATTTCTCTAGTACATATATCTAATAGCACAGCTCGTAAATTTACGCTTACACTTCACCGCCCATCCACTTCACTGCTTTTCATATGGGATCAAATGGTTTAGCTCAGTGATGACCAACAAACAAACACAAATTACACATGCTTTCCATTACGTTTGATTAAGTTCAACTTTTACCGCATTACTTTGTCATCAAATARGCTTAACTGCCAAAACACTCTGCATAAAATTTCTACTTCAATTAAATGTGAAAAGCTGTTTAAATTTTAATGAAATCAAGGTGCTCTGACTGCACTAAATTGGTGCAGTGCAAAATATTTAACAAATTAGAAAACAGGGGAGARTTTTATTAAAAATAATTGATAAATAAATAATGTCATAAAAGCAATAAAATATATCAATTTATTTTAGCTCCAGCTGTGAGGCTATATTTAAGAACTCTTTTTGGCTGTTTTGTATTAAATCCTCACAAAAATATTTGTTTCAATAAACTTTTTCGTTCATATCGTTAATACTATTCCTCGAACGTACACAATAGAAATAACAGTGGTGAAATTATACAGTTTTAATTAAATTCCTACGAAGAAGAGGTATCTGGCCATACTTTGTTAGGGAACAAACATCATAGATTATATTTTATAATTTAAATATTGTTGGCGCACATAAAAAGAAAAATTTACTTTCTGAYATTTCCGCTATGTTAAAAAATCCATCAATATCATTAGCTTCCTCGAACACTTTCATACTTCAACAACCTGATGAGATTTTTTCTGATAAAACTTTAAATTTATTCATCCAAAATTATTTGCACATATTATGGCATCTATTAACTGTATTCGAAGACTAACTATTAGAAAAAATATTTATTTGGAGTGAAACCACAGCTGATCTCCGGTAGCTCCTCTAAAAAAAATTTAGCGGTTCCCACTAAATCTCTGAACTAGATCGAAACATTTATGGACATACATGGAAACAAATAATAATAAATTGTTTATAAAAAAATATTTACCGGGAAAGATAATTCCATTACTTACTAAAAAATAGAATTAAAAAAGTCGTGTYAACCGACTTGAAAACACCATTTGGAGAAAAATGCGTTTAAAGTATTTTTGTTTTTAACTTACACAGGATCGTCTATTCCAAGACTTTACAATATACCCAACGCCGATTCGGCAGCTTATAATATATCGAGCTGATGTTATCTGCGGGCCATGCTTCCACCTCGGGWGTTCTCACACGCTCTGAAATCGGAAATATTCACAAGCTACTCATCTTCTTATTCGGCATATTAGTGCGCATTGGGCCCAAGTGTTATTTCAATTTATATGTATGCAACGATTTCCACAGTTTTCGAATCGACCAGAAAAAGTTTGAAAATAAAGAAATAAAAATTACATTTTAGATAAATGCATAATAATTTCAGATAGATGCATAATAAGCCTTCCGGGTAAGCGCTGTCGCTTCCGCCCTTCAAGCACTCTGAAACGCCTTTCCGAAATTTACTTGCCACTTCGAAAATATTCACCGGAACGATATGAAATTTTTTTGACGTATTCTTAAAAATGTGTAAATTAAGAAACTAAATAAAATTTTTTTTTTTTTTTTTTTGTTTTGAAAATTCTAAATGCATTATAACATCTTAAAATACCGATGGAATTTCGTATCAGTACCGGTCGAATTTAGTGGCTATTCATACGGCTTAAAACTACTGTTGTGATGTCAACGCATAAGTCTGTACTACCTTCAGTTCTTAAATAAATTTTCGATACTTTGTTAATTATAAAGTTGTCAAGCAGTCGTGTATAAACTACATAGGTAACGAACGACTAGAGCGTATAACTGCAGCGCAGACTGGACGAATAAAATCATATTCTTGTTTCGAAAACAAAATATCTTAAGGATATTTATCACGGATTGTCGCGTTAGACAAGTGTGCAACTTTCAAAGAAATTTTTGAATTCGGATTGCATATAACTAGCACACAAACTGTACCGTCGCAATGAAGTGCGATTTCTTTTTAATTTGAGGATAGATCTTCACACAATTTGGCATAGATTATTTTCTAAGGAAACGGTGCAGTATCCGAAGATATTCTTCAGATCGGACCTATATAGCAAATGGCTGTCATACAATATTTCCGCTAAAAATAAAGTTCTTGTTTTGTGTTCTTGTGTGTGTGCCTCGATTGAAGTGAAGTTGTTCTT